CCCCCATGAGGTTCCTCTTTTACAAGTGTAGCCAAGAACGTCGATTGTCCATTGTTAATGCCTTTTTTCACTTTCATAACAGAGATTTCCTTGGCTTTCACCTCTTCAAGAGATAATGGAATGGACCATGCCTCTTGATCTTTCGCAACAGTCATTGTTCCATCCTTCTCAAAAGTAAAGGGTCTTACCGTGTCCATAAACTCTAGTTCCAACACTAAAGATAAGTCATTCATATCTACTATGGTAAGATCTAGGGTGCCCCTCCATTCTCCCAAATGAATGGGCACCTTACTAGCTACACCAAGAATTGGGGTGGGATCTCTGTTCACCGTCTTCAAAGACTAGGTCTTCTTAGTGAATGAAATCCCCAACCTTGTAACCTCTTTAAGAGTGACAAAATTGTTTGTTGCACCCGTGTTGACGAGTGCCTTGGAATCCTTCCCATTTATCTCAGCTTCCACAAACATAAGGAAATGTTTCTTCGTTCGGGGTAGCGTACTTAGCTATGTCGTTACCTTCCTTGTGCTGCCGCACCGTAGCCTTGACGCTGTTGCACAAGCTTAATGTCCGCATATGCGCCTCGTCCCCTGAAGATTCCCCGGACGAGTTAGCGATCAAAGCGTTGAGATTTTGTCGCTGCGGAGACTCCCTAGCCTAGTGCGGCCCTCCGCACAAGAAGCATCCATGTTTTGTCTTGCCATCCAAAGATTTGTCTTTCTCCTTTTCCTTGTCCCTTTTCTTGGATAACTTACCCCCATTGTGGCTGCGTTCGATGGGCTTGGCTCCCCCACCTTTCCTCTTGCTGTCGCTACTTGTCTTGCTACTCCGATCCTTCTTCGTGTCTAGCTTATACTCAAACAAGGATTCGGCTACAGCAATGGCGTCCGCAATAGTTTGAACGTTGCGACGTTTCAACTCTTGTTCCGCCCATCTTTGGAGCCCGTCCATGAAATAGAGAAGTTAGGTCTTCTCCGGCTACTCCGTCACCTCTAGAATGAGTGAATTATACTGCTTGACGTATTCCTTGATAGACCCTATATGCTTCAGCCCACGTAGCTTCTTTATGGCAATCTCTTCCTCATTCTCCGGATAAAATTGCTTCTTGAAATCGGCCTTGAACTCGTCCCTGAGCGAGACAAGCCCCATTTCGATGTCGAACTCCCGTCTCCTCCACCATAAAATGACGTCATCGGCCAAGTACATTGTAGCGGTGTTTACTTTAATAACATCATCCTTAAAATGCATTGCATCGAAATACCTCTCGATGTTCCACGGGAAGTTGTCCGGCTCCTTAGCATCCTTCTTCCCATGGTACTTTGGTGGCTCGGGAACCTTAATCTTAGGTCCCTCCCGAACCGTGGCACCCACTGCCACAGCCGACTTGCACAGCTCCACGTCGGCTTTTAGGGACTCGATTTTCTCCTTCATAGAGCGCAGCTCCTTCATTAAGGTGTCCTTAAGTTGAGTTAATTCTAACCGAATAGCATCAGCCATTTGGTTGACGAGGAGCTACGTCCCGTCCTTCATAACTGATGTTTCGGACTCTAACTCTTAGACCCTTTTTTCGAGGCCCTCAACATCTAGCTCGATGTCGTCCACTCTTCCCGGGTGTTCACTAACGGTGTAAGCCAGCTACCAAAGGCTGTCATGGTGATCAACGATAGAGCACTCCAAGGAAGCCACCTTTTCCTCAAGCAACAAAGTACGACTTACCTTCTTGCTTGTCTGTGGTTCCTCTACGGTTCAGCCAACAACGTCCTTCTATTGAGTTGTCATCGTCTACTCCGCACTAAATCTTGTATCATAACAAGCTTCACTCCGCAACAGACCGCCCCTACGACCGACATTGCTCTGATACCATGTGTCACGTACTGACTCTTTCCCTAAGTTCTTTGCACGAGTCCTACCCCCTTGTAACTCTAGTCAAGGAACCCCAAATTACCTTCGCTAGACTAACACTACTAAAATTCGGCTAAATTGCGACCATTTTTCTATGACCGTCTGAAAATCGGTCGTAAAATATGAAATTTGCGACCGTTTTTTATGCGGTCGCAATCTTACGACTGCTTTGACAACGGTCGCAAATTTGCGACCGTTTTGCAACCGTTTTTAACCTTTTAGACGGTCGCTACGATGTTTGAACAATTAAAAATAATTCTAAATTAAAATAAATCGTTTGCGACCGTCAAAGACGGTCGTAAATATTATAATCTGCAACCGTCACAGAGACGGTCGTAAATTTCATAATCTGCAACCGTCAAAGGCGGTCGTAAATGTCATAATCTGCGATCGTCAAAGAGACGGTCGTAAATTTCATAATCTGCGGCCGTCAAAGGCGGTCGTAAATGTCATAATCTGCGACCGTCAAAGAGACGGTCGTAAATTTCATAATCTGCGACCGATAAAGGCGGTCGTAAATGTCATAATCTGCGACCGTCAAAGAGACAGTCGTAAATTTCATAATCTGCGACCTTCAAAGGCGGTCGTAAATGTCATAATCTGCGACCGTCAAAGAGACGGTCGTAAATGTCATTATTTGCGACCGTCAAAGACGGTCGCAAAAAGATTTTTTTTATATAAAAAAATTCGGGTATAAAAGTACACCCATCTCACCCCAACCCTAATTAACTAACCTCACGCCGCTCCTCTTTCTCTTTCCTCTCCTCTCTTCTTTTTCTTTCCCCTGAATCTCTAATTTACTTCCTCTTATCTCTCTCCTCTCTATTTCCTCTCTTCTCTTCACCGATTTTTGCCACCATCTTTCCTCCGCCACCATATTTCCTCCGCCACAATCTTCACTGGCTCTCCTCCTCCTTAAAGGAGTACGACAGCGGCGGTTTTATTGGCGAGTTCGGGTTCGATTTTCTCAACAAGTACATTTAATGGTTTTTAAGGTGGAATTCGACCATGAAAAGTCTAGATCTAGACTTTTTATGGTCGAATTTGGCCTTATTAAACCAAATTTGAGGTGAAATTCAAAGTTTGAGGTATGTTTTCATGTTTTTGATTTATTTTTTGTTTCGTTTTTTATTATTTTCGTTTAATTTTTGGTTGATTTTCGTTTCATTTTTTGTTGTTTTGTTTGATTTTTGTTGTTTGTTTTTAGTTTTAGTGGGTTTGATTTTGTTTTTGTTGATTTTTGGGTCTGATTTGTTGTTTTGTTTGATTTTTGTTGTTTGTTTTTAGTTTTAGTGGGTTTGATTTTGTTTTTGTTGATTTTTGGGTCTGATTTTCGGGTAATTTTCATTTAGTTTTTGGTTAATTTTTGTTTCGTTTTTGGTTGTTTTGTTTTTGTTGTTTGTTTTTGGCCTAGTTTGTTTTAGTGGGTTTGATTTTGTTGATTTTTTGGTTTGATTTTCGAGTAATTTTGGTTTAATTTTGTGGTTTAATTTTCATTAATTTTTGGGTTTGATATATAAAGTGAAATTGTTTGATTTTTGTTATTTTTAGATTTGTTTTTCGTTAATTTTAGTTGGTTTAATTGGGTTTTATTTTCATAAATTTTGTTGAGGGTGGCTTTTGTTGTGGCCGATTGGGGTTTTTACGGCAAAGGGTTGGGGTTTTCACGGCAAAGGGATGGAGATTGTGGTGGTTGGGTGATATTTACGAGGTGGCTGGTGGTGTTTTAAGGTGGTAAAGGTGTTTTAGGGTGGGTAAAGGTGATGAGGCAGGCTGCATTCACAGGAAAGTGGGTGCCGACTTTTTCTTTTTTTTTTTGTTTTTTTTAAACTCTTTGCGACGGCCTTAAGCGGTCGCTAATTTCCATATTTGCGACCGCTTCGTATGCCGGTCGCAATTATATATATTTGCGACCGTCGTCCAAGCGGTCGTTGAAAATATAAAAACGGTCGCAAAAAAATATGCGACCATCAAACGGTCGTAATTACTTTTTTGCGACTATATGAATAACGACCACCACGTTACGACCGTTGACAGTCGCAATTAAGTTCTACGACCGTTTTTTCTATTTTCAACGACTGTCAGAGGCGGTCGCAATTTGGCTAAATTTTAGTAGTGTAAGTACAATGCTCAAAGTTAAGTGGGTGAAACTAAAAAATGGCTAAGTAGTAAGCAAAAGAGAACAAGAAAGATTGCTTTAAGCATGCTTTATATTGCTTGAGAAAACTTTACAATTGTGTGGATGGATGTACAAATGAGGGGAGGTTACCTTTAATAGTGCTCCCCAAGGCTTATAGATTTCTTCTAACCTCCTCAAATGGAGGATCCTAGAACAAGATTAATCTACAGAGTTCTACATCATCCCGAATTTACTCTCTCTATGTACAATGTCCTTGAATACTCTAGACTACTTGGTCTACAAAGAATATACAAGATTGCCCTTGGAGAGGTCACTAACATTGCAATGCAATTTGGAACGTTGTGGGGACCATCTCCAAAATTTGTCTCGGCCATTATCTTCATTGGTCCTAAAAACGGTGGACCCCAAGTTTTAGCCCGTTTGGGCTTCATTTGGGCCCTCAAATAGCTCATTATTGCGTTAATGTCATTTGGGTGTTCACTAGGAAAACAGCACCTAAGCTAAATAAAGATCTTTAGGGGAGTGGTGCTTCCTAGCATCCATGGGCAACTCCCTTGGCCCTATCTGTTGCCTAGTGCCCAAGTAACATTGTTGATGCCTTCTAGGGTGTGGGGACTTGACTTGTAACAGGCGGCTCTATTGGCTTCAGCCCATGAGAAATTAGTGCTTAATCATGTTTTTAAATCAAAATAGTTGAGAACCTAAACCACGTCGATCCAACCTTGTAATATAATAGGTTCTTAATCATGTTTTTTTATTTTTTAGAGAGTCATAGGGACAAGTGATGAGCATTTTTCCAAAATCTTCTAAAATCAAGAAGGTAGCTTTAAGCCTTTAACCCAAGTTATTTTGTCACTCTAATATTTCATTTAGTCATTTGTAGATTTAAAAATGCGCTTACAACCTCATAATGTGTACAAAGCAAAGAAATATGGCATAAAAATTGGTGGAACAAAAATCCTTTTGCAAAAACAAACTTTATATACTAAATTCTAACCTCATATGCACAACAAACCAATAAGTTTTCAACAAGTCGTCCTAAGCACATCCCACTCTTCAGTCTTCCTAAAAAAAAGATTCTAAAGATAGAAAGAAAATGTGAACAGAATCATTTCTGTGTCACCCAAATATTCTATTCTAATCTCAAATTTATAAAGCATACACAAAATCATTTACTCCCTTATTTTTCATTATATAAGTTGTTTACACTTTGACATTGCATTTTAATTGCAATCTGTTTATATAATGCATACACTCTTGCACAAAGAAATATTCTTTTTTTTTTTTTTTCTTAATTCGATCAAAATTTAGTGGTCATCAAGTGTGAAATGCCTTATATTATGAAACTAAGGGAGTAATAATTGATACAAATAATAAATACAAATGTGAAAAGAAGAAAAAAGGATGAAATTAAAGATGAAAACGAGAACCGTTGATTACAAAGCAGGCAACCCGAAAACCAGACATCAAGGAGGAGAAGCCGAGGAATAGAAATCCAGCAAATCCAAGGGCTATAGATATGTCGGATTGCACACAGAATGCACTCGTAACCGTACACGTGTCCGTACCTTTCAATGTCTTTACCAATGCCGTTCCTGCTGAGTTTGCTGATAGTAGCATGTATGCAAAAACCTGCATCAGATGTTTACAGATTTGTTATCATATACTATTTCATTTTACCAATTTTCTTTTCTTAGAAAACAATCTCTACTAATGATTAGTAGCTACTAGCTAATAGTAACCCGAGGTCACAAAAACATAATATATGTACTCCTTCCGGCCAACATTAGTTTTTACATACATCTATGCTGAGGTCACAAACATAATATAAGAACGGTTTATCTTTATCATAATCTTATAAGCAAGTGCTGCAAGTCTATTAAGAGCTAAGGCAACCAATAAGAGGCTTAACATACTACGGAGTAACATTTATCTAATGACTAAAGGTCTGGTCTCATTGACTGAACTTAGCTGAGCTTAACTGAGCTGAATATTTTATAAGAGAAGGAAATTAGGAGCTGAACTGAAAATAAACGTATGACAACAGGCCCTAAACTGTGATTGAACTCAAGAATTCAATTTAACTAAGGGCACTAATTATCAATGAGCTATCAACATGCAATTGGCTAAACTTTTAATTTTATGCTAGATTAACTTGCCTCAAAAATGAAATTTGAGAAGTAGCATGGTCTACTGAGATCAAAGAGTACTAAAGATTCAAGTTTAAAGATTTTATTCCACAAGTCCACAATCCATGTACCACTGTACCACTAACGCGCCTCTAATTTATTGATTGTTATTATCTTTGTTACTCATATCCTTCATAATGAGATCCTTGACAGTCAACTATGAGTGCTAAACACAGACTAACACGCATTAGATTGGGCCGAAATCAAAATTATGAAGCTTTCATAGAATACCCGAGTCAAACACTTGAACAAGTATTTGAATAAGTTGTATCGATCAGACATAAGCTATTATCACTATGACCCACCGAGAAATATTTATATAATGAGACACATTATAATCAACCAAAATTAAGGTATGAGGTATGACACTCTAATACAACAATTATAGAGCAGAAAATTTGGACCCGAAGAATTCTACTCCATGATTTAAGATATACTGAAGTAAACGGTTGTGGATAAATGCTAGTCAAAGTTTGACGTCAGCTAGTCCAAGTCTTACATGTCTCTTTAATGGAGTATAAGTCAAACTAAACAATTTTCGAATGGAATAGTACAAATTGCATTAATTCAAACCACACCAAATATTTTAAAAAGTCACTCTTCTGCAAATGATTACGTCTTTTGCCGAATTCGTAGAAGACTGAACTGATTAAGTAATAATTACTCAATTAACATACCAATTAGCAATAGTACGTACCATTTTACCAACTTGTAAGTGGTTGATAACAAGATTTTTGTTAAATCTTTAATAATCAATGAATATACTACGTAAGAAACTTTCGATAATCACCTAAAAGTAGAAATAGTAACCATGTAACAACGTACCATACTCGCTAGTTTGGTTATTCAATAATAATGGTCAAAATATAAACAACACTTAGAAAAAAGAAAGTAAACAATACTCCGTAAAGTCAATTGACAACACGTTTTTGGTATGAATTTGATCAACAATTCTAAGAGATATGTTTAACAAATTTTGCAATGTTAATTAGTACAGGGTACTTTATAAATAAAATTAACGTAGACCGGCTTTCTAATTTTGCATTGGGCCATTGACAATTAACAGATAAAGTCTCAATTATTGCCACAAATAATCCCAAATCAATTAGTCCTACAACAGTGTTATGTCTTAAATTCAAATTTTGAATTTCAGAAGAAAAAAAAAAAGCGGAGAAAAAATGGACCAAAAACCAATAAAAATCCAGAACATGACCCAACATTCCCCACATTTTAACAACTAAGACAACAACACAAACTACATTCAAATGATTTAAATGGACAGCAAATGTTCACAAAGTCGCTAGATCAAAAGGAAAATGATATATGCAGCCCTGATAAAACGACACGAAAAACAAACCTGATCGTGACCAAAATCGAACCAAACTTGATAAACCTCCGGAAAAAGCGTAGTACCCGTTGTTATTTCCCAAACTGCCGCCACCATCTCCACCAATGAATACACCGCTACAATTCCATTCGCCGCCAACACAAACCTAAATATTCAAAATTCAAAAACCATTAATTATTCAAAAATAAATAAGTAAATAAATTATTTCCTGTTTTTTACTTGCAATATACAGGACAGAGAGAATCATTGTCCGAATAAAGTAAAGGTTGCAATTAAAAAACAACGGAGGAAGTAATTTATTTGGAAAAAAAAAATAATAAATAAATAAAAAGAAAGGGTGAGAGTAGATACCGAAAAGCATCGAAATCGAACCAGTGAGGAGGAGAAGAGCGGGAGTTAGTAAGCATAAAGACGAAGGATGACAAAGAAAAGACGAAGGTAGCAATACGAAAGACCAAAATTAACGAGTTAAAACGCTTGAGTTTGTGAACAGAGAGGGTAGACTGGAATCGGATATCGTGAGGGGAAGGAGGGAAATTGTTACGAGGAGGAGGTGAGAGGTTATCGGCGCCGCCGTTGCGAAGATGAGATTGCGGGGAGCGCATAATTTGAAGGAGTGTGGTGGTGGTGGTGGTGGTGGGAAAGGAGGAAGAGTTGAGAAGGGGAAAACATGAGAAAAGGGAGTGGTGTTAAATGGAGGAGTGAGAGAGGAGAGAGTTGAGAGGAGAGAGAAAATGTATGGTCACGGGGGAAATGGTGGTGGTGGGAAAAAAGGAAATGGAATTGGATGAGAGGGAAAGTAAAGGGGAAAAGAGATGGGAAAGAGAGTGAAAAATGAAAATAAAGGGGAAAGTCACGTCCGAACTCTAAAAGTGACTTCCTTTCTTATTTGTTTTTTTTTTTTAATAAATTTTTTTCTAAAGATAAATTACATGTCATGCGTGCGTCTAGTCACAGCATGAGTCTCATTGTAAGCAAACAAACTAATTCTGTACTCACTAACGAGAGTTGGCTCAAGTGATAAGCAATTTGATGTCCCTCAAAGAAAGTTTCGGGTTCGAGCCTCATCGTATGCAGAAACTCTTGTTGAGAGACTCACCCACCATAAGCCAGGTGTGCTACCCGAGTACTTCCTCCGTGTTTTTTTATGTGTTACATTGTTCATTTTCGGCCGTGATTTTTTAAACATTACACTTCCTTTTTTGGCAAAAAGCTATATTAAAATATTATATCTTTCTCCTCTCATGGTCCCCACCCAAACCCACTACTATTTTTTTTATTATATCTTTCTTTTCACATTCATTATTTTTCAATAAACTATTAACTCACTATCTTTCTCTTACAATTTTTTAATACTCCAACTACCTCACTTACCTCTTATTTTATTTAAGTCAATAAAATTGCCTAAAAATATTTGCCGGTCAAACTGTAACACTTAAAAAAAACACGGAGGGAGTAACTTTGATGGTCAAATAACCTTTATAACACAAACAAAGTACACTCTTTATTAATATCTAACTTTTATAATTTTTGCTACTCCTTTCGTGTTTTTTTAAGTGTTACACTTTCCATTTTCGGCCGTGTTTTTAAAATGCTACACTTCCTTTTTTAGCAAAAAGCTACATTAAAATATTATATTTATCTCCTCTCATGGTCCCCACCCAAACTCAGTTCTACTTTTTTATTATATCTTTCCTCTCACATTCATTATTTTTCAATAAACTATTAATCTCATTATCTTTCTTTTACAATTTTTTAATACTCCAACTACTCCACTTACCTCTTATTTTATTTAAGTCAATTAAATTGCCTAAAATTATGTGTCGTTTAAACTGTAACACTTAAAAAACACGGAGGGAGTAATGTGATACTATAGATATATGCGGTCAAAGATAGGTAAAATTTGCATTGATTTACGTAAACAAGAACACCATTATGAAATGAATGGAGTATCTCTTATAACACTAACATTGACTGAGTAACTCCTATAATACTAACAAAATAACCATTATAATTGTTGGTCACACAGTATAGTCAGTCACATATAAGAATTTTTGAAAGATCAGTATGTCTTATATTATTTTATTTTATTTTTTTAATTTGAACTTTACACTATTTACACACTATTTAATTATTTATTATGATTTATATGTTGGAAAAAAATATATAGTTATGTGTTTAGACTTGTCTCAAATTGATGCCAAAATATCTCATATTTATATTATTTTTTTCTAAAATATAATTTAAGATAATAAGCTTAGTGTAAATCGGCAAAAGTATTAGATCCCAAACATTTAAAATAAAGGAAATTTTGACTTTTACCACACAAAAAAATCAAAAAATTGTTTTTTACCACCAAAACTTCTAAAACTTTTATTTTACCACCAAAAAAATTTCTAAATATTGTTTTTTACCACCAAACATCAAGGAAACCATTAAATCTAACGGTTTAAAAAAATTCCTTCGAATTTTGTGTGCAAAAGATGTTTTTCATAAGTTTAGGGGAGCACTTTGGCCCTATGGGTCCAATTTGAGGTCAAAATTGACAAAAAATGATCGAAAATGCCTCGTTTTGTGTGTTCACGCAAATCGAGATTTTTTTAAACACGCAAAACGAGGCATTTTCGATCATTTTTTGTCAATTCTGACCTCAAATTGAACTCGTAGGACTAAAGTGCCCCCCCAAAACCCCTAAAGAGCCTGTGTTTGACACGAAAATCGAAGAATTTAAAAACTTTCGTTAGGTTTTTTACGACATGTGGTAAAAAACAACTTTTAATTTTTTATTTGGTGGTAAAATAAAAGTTTTGGTGGTAAAAAACATATTTTTGATTTTTTTTTTTTGGTGGTAAAAGTCAAAAAATCCAAAAAAAAAAAAAACCTCTCTTCATTTTGTTATAATTGCTACACTTTTCTTTTAGTCCATTTCATAATAATTGCAACATTTTTTCAGTAGGTATGAACTATTATTTAAATAAATATTTTATAATTTCTCTTTCCTATCAACCTCCTTTACACTACTTTTTTTTTTTACTTCATATATTTATTTTTCCTACTAATAATTACATATATAATCCTACAAATTACTTGTACGATTTACTACATATATTATAAAATTTCCCGTTTGATCCCCACCTTATAATTTCCCTACAACTTTATAAATAATATAATGTGGTTACAATTTACGAAACGAAAGGAGTAAAAAATGATAAAGAAAGTATAAAAACACATACGGAGTATAATTTTCATGTCTGAATAATTGACATGTTTAAACTTGATACACATGTCAATGCAGTAGTTTAATTTAAAGATATAAGAAGATTAGTAAATAACTAAATTGATATTATAAAGCTTTATATCAATATTTATGTACAATATATGTCATGACAAAATTTGTTTCTAAAATGTTATTAAATAGTTGTGGTCAAAGTATTTGTATATAAATAGAAGAAAAAAAAAATCAAACATGTCAATTTTTCCGAGATGGAGGAATTACGTTCTTTCTAAAGAAACCCCCCCAACGGGTTATAACTTGTAACTAGTGAGTAGCCCGGGCGATGCCCCGGATTGCTACTTTTGTTATCGTGCAATTGGGATTTTAAATATAAAATTAATATTATTAAATGTGCTTTTTTTTTCTTCTGATAATTGAATCAGGTAGTTTATACTTATAGACCATTTTTCTTCATATTTATAACATGCTTGATGATGGGCTAAGATGGTTAGATAGCCAATTTTTTCATAAGTGGTTGAGTGTTCGAATCTCCTTAGAGCATGAGCAATGGTGGGTAACTCACAACCATTAGAGCACTCACATCATTGAGCATTTTTTTGCTCATGAGCAAAAATGGTGAGCAAATTTGTTAATAATGGTTCCCCATCAATGAGCATATTGAAAAATGCTCATGAGCATTTCTGATTTTGCTCATCCTATGAACAAATTTGAGGATGAACAGTAACTACGTGGGGCCCGGCAACTCTCCAATATCCTTGTCAGCTTCTTCCTCCAATCAGCAAATATTATCGTTTTTAAACGATAATTAATTTAAAACGGCTATTTTGGAAGATTTATAATTAAAAAAAAAAATCATCAACGGTTATAATTTTTTTTCTCTACAAATAGAGATCCATTTTGACATATTTTGGTATAATTTCAAAAATCACAAAAACACTATATTATTCTTACTCCTATTTCTAGTGAGATTTATAATTTATAATTGTTTAGCGATTAAAAGTTCAATATTATTAATTAATATTTAATAATTGTATTAAGTTAAATAGTAGTATAATTGTAATTAGTAGCATTAAAATTTCGTTTAACCAAAACATAATTAATAGTAATATGGTGATGTGTAAGAGAGAGAAATATTGATGGGGTATGTGAAAAAGTAGGAGAGAGATTGATGAGCATTTTTTTTTGCTCACTAGTGGGATAAAATTTGCTCACAAAAAATGCTCATGGTTGACAAGAGAGAGAAAGTGGCTAGAGAGAGAATGAACAATTTTTTTTTGCTCACTAGTGTGAGTGCTCTTACAAATCACTTTATTTATTTCTTTCTCTTCCAAATCGTCTCTCATCTCACTTTCCATTATCTTAAAGTTACTTTTATGAAATTTATGAGTCACCTTATTTTTTTTATCTACAATGGTAAGATTACTCACTACTCTCTCTCCTAAACATATTTTTCTTTGTAAGTGACACTTATCATCTTATAATTGAATAATAGCAAATCCAAGGCAAAAAATTATGAGCATGTCAGTTACTCAGCATTGGGGAGTGCTTCTTGCCATGAGTAACTTGTGGGTCACTTTCCACAATGGTGAGCTAACTCACAAAGAGGAGAGAGAGTGTTGTGAGTTACTACTAATTCACCACTGCTCATGCTCTTAACGTTATATTTTTACATGAAGTAATATGGTTGCTTAGGTGACGTGATGTGGCATAAGAGATGTAAAGTAGGTGATGTTGCATCATAAAATGCTTGTAAATGCCATGGCATAATTTAAAAGGATCTATGTGTCACATAGACGTTTTATAAACGCCTTTTAATATATTAGTATAGATAGATGTTGTGTTACTTTTACTACTACTTTTGTCACTTTTATATGGTTACGTTAGGTATATTCTCTTTATGATTACATTCCTTAAATAGAATGCTAATTTTACATATCTACCCCTATTTTTTCACACTTCATATAGTTACCCTCACATATTATATATTTCCATGTAACAATTCCTATCTATCAAAATATCTACATATTCCAAAACAACAATTTTAATTTAACAAAAGGTTTTTTCTCTTCCTAAAAATTTACTAAAATATTTAGCTATTTACAAAATAAATATTCTCATTGTACATAATCTTAAAGTTTTTTTTAGAGAGATCCCAGGTTACTCAATTTGAGTAACAAATATTGTTACTCAAATGGAAATCTTATAAATATTGGTCTTGAAATTTGTATCATTTATTCTTCATTTCTTTCCACTGACGTCCACCGCCATCACATATGTTGTTTCAATGAATACTAAAAGAAGGGGGGTTGAATTGCAATATGACAGATTTGTCAAACCTTTTGTGAAAATAAAAACAAGTAAGTTTAAGGAACTGAAAGTGCAAGAGAGATTTTATGTGGAAAACTCCTTGACCCTAAACAAGGAGAAAAATCACGACCACTTGGGATTTTAAAAAAAGAATCTTAATTAGAATAGGGCAAAAGACCAATTATAAACTAAAGACACTAATTTCAAGTTAATCAAAAAACTCAAAGCCCCAAGCAACAAGTCACCCAACTTGTTACTCTTCTCTTCTATTTCTCTCTTCTCTTTCTCTTTCTCACAGCTTCACTCAAACCTAAAACAGAAGTTCACTCAAACTTCGCAATTCCCCAAAATACAACTCGGAAGAATAAACTCTAATATAAGAACATAAGAAAACTTTCTTTCACTAATGTGGAATTGAGCTCTTAACTAGATCAAAGAAAGCAAAAGATGAAATCTATTTGAGCAAGGGTGAGATTTTCCAACTGAAATCAAC